AAGCGGTTTATCTTGCCATCGCTTCTGTATTTGGTCGGTTGCATTTGTCTTTGCTGTCTTTTTAAGTATTTTACAGTTTCAGCCGGTGTATTGGGCTGTACTTGCATTTCTGCGCCCATTTGAAACTCTTATAATAATAATAATAATAATAATAATAATTATTATTATTATTATTATTATTATTATTATTTTCTTTGATTTCTGGCGTTTACACATATCTTTCCGGGTCCCGCCCAGGGACCTAAGGTTAGAAATGGTGTCATGACACTTTCCACTGACAAAAAATAAAAATAAAAAAATAAATTAAATTACATAGATAAAGCCCTTCGTAAGGTATGGGATGTACTTGTCAGAACAATTTTTTGTATCTCCTTGAGGCATGGACTTCCAGGAATCCCTTCAATTAGTCTACTGTAATCTTTTCCAACCAGTCCTAGGGCTCCAACTACAACAGGGATTGTTGATGTTCCCATATGCCACATTTTCGAGATTTCTATTTCAAGGTCCTTGTACTTTGACAACTTTTTGAATATCTTCAAAGATATATTGCAGTCAGCAGGGACTGCCATATCAATAAGGAGGCATCGTTTTTGTTTGTGGTCTTTAATAACAATATCTGGCCGGTTAGCCTTGATTGTTCTGTCAGTGTGTATTGTGTAATCCCATAGAATTGTAACAGGTCCTATCTCCGTAACCGGGTCTGGATGGTGTTCATACCATTTTCTTTCAGTTTCCTTCCCGTAGAAGTTGCAGATTTTCCAGTGCAGATATTGGCCCACTCTGTCATGTGGGGTTTTATATTCAGTGGGTGCCAACACCATACAACCTGATACAAGATGATCAATCGTTTCTGGATATTTATCACAGAATCTGCATTTGGGGCTGACACAATACTTTAGTATATGTGCTTGATAATTCCTACTTAGCAAGCATTGGTTCTGCGCAGCAAGGATAAAACCTTCAGTTTCCGCTTTCAACCCTGCACTACGTAGCCACTGATGGGTACGGGTTTTGTCTACGTCAGCTTGTTTGGTACGGGCAGAGTATTGGCCATGAAGCGGTTTATCTTGCCATCGCTTCTATAACTGGTCAGTTGCATTCGTCTTTGCTGTCTTTTTTAGGTATTTTGCAATTTCAACCGGTGTATTGTGCTGTAGTTGCATCTCTACGCCCATTTGAAACTCCATTTTGAATTTGTTGGCTTCTTTCATTACGGAGTAGAGACGCTTACTACTTTCATGTTCCTTGACGCATACCATCATCTAGTCTTCTGTAGTTTCCAAATATCTTTGGAGGCCAATTGTTGTAGTTTTGTAGTACAGTTCTAGTTGAACTAATCCTCTGCCTCCTTCGGATCTGGGCACATACAGACGATCAACATCAGCTTTGGGATGATGCATGCGATAGCAAGTGAGAAGCTTTCTCGTTTTGGCGTCCATTCGCTTAATTTCAGCTATGGGACATTAAAGCTGTATTGCACCACAGGGACAGCCAATGTGTTTATGGCTGATATCCTGTTTTTTGAGTTTAGCTCAGTATTTAGTACCAGACGTACACGTCTGTAGTATTCTTTTCTTATTTTTTCCTTCATTTGGGGGTGTTGTATGCCATCTCCTTCGCTAATTCCTAGGTACTTATAAGCTTCACCATGCTCCAGTTCCCTAATCTTTGTGACAAAATCTAAATCTATTAAGGGTGTTATTATTATTATTATTATTATTATTATTATTATTATTATCAGGCACACATACTGAAAAATTGTGTTATTTCAGAATGCAGATTTTGTGATAAATATCCAGAAACATTTGCCCATCATGTATCAAGTTGCACGGTATTGGTAACCACTGAATATAAAAATCGGCAGGACAGGGTGGGTCAATATATGAACTGGAAAATCTGCAACTTTTACGGAAAGAAATCTGTAAGAGATCGGTATAATCCCCACCCAAATATAATTTCTTCATACACACCTAACAATTAGAGCATCGTATCAACTAATGACTTTCTCCACATCTTGAAAACAGTAAATCCCATAGGAAATACTATGACCTCCCTGGACGACGAAAGACTCTTTAAAAAACGTTCTAGTGGAGGAAACAATCCACGAAATTAGCGACTGTGTCTACAAACTCCCGACAATAGCCCACGAAATATCTGACCCGCTATCCCCAAGAAACTACTCTTCGCATTTACTACAAAAGCTCCATTCTATGACCATGATGGTAACACATATATCAAAATTAACGGTGTTAGCATGGGAAACCCGTTAGGTCCTACTTTCGGTAACTTTTACATGTCCTATATTGAAAACAAAGTATTTGAAACAATCTATAAACCTGAAATCTACACAAGCTACATCGATGACATTTTCGATTTGATAAAAATTATAGATGAAATTGCCAAACTATAAACAGCTTTTGAAAAAAAACAAACAAAAACTAACCACTAAAAATCGGCGCCTTCGTTGATGAATTTCATATTAACCTCAAGAAACTGATTCGACAACAAGAAAGGACCAATATAAAAATAAGTGTAGAAAATATGACTATATTATTCAGTGGAATATTGTTGAAAAAAGATATGCTGCCTAAATACACACACAAGCACATACACACACACATATGTGTGTGTGTGTGTGTGTGTGTGTGATAAAATATATAACATTAAGGTATGCAGTAGTTTATGGCTAAAATTGCTCAATATCAAGGTTAGAATATATATATATATATATATATATATATATATATATATATGTATATATATTTATGAAAGTGGGCACTGAGGTCCTCAACGATTCGTGAAAGTCTGTTTTATGCATGATCGCAATCTTCAAGCTATTGACACTAACCACGGTGTGCACATTTATAGTTATAAAAAAAACATATAATGTATATTTATTATTATTGTTAGTGCATTTAGGATTCATTTTTTTTTATTAATCCTACAGATTGAAGCTTTCATTATTATATTTGTGTTATACTAGTAGAAAACACAAACATAATATCTTCATCCACCTGTAAAAACGATAAAAAATTAATGGAAGATCAACACTTAACAAAATTAACTACGAACAAGGCCACAATGTGCTAACCGTATTCGGAAATTAAAAATATCTCAATAATACACTAAAACAATATCACATAATTCACACACTCAATTAAGCTGAAAAACTGAATCATCCTTGATAATGGCTAAAGGTATAGCCAAAACCGCTTGGAACTATAAAACATTTGCACACTTTTTACACACTCTTTGTCCAGAAAAGAAAATTATTGTTCGAACAAAACAAACATTTAAATACAAAGCTTAACCGTAGTCCATTGTCTGTCGTTTTAATGAAACACACACACACACACACACACACACACACACACATATATATATATATATATATATATATATATATATATATATATAGTGAGCCGTGATTGTAAAATAGTGTTTCTTTTGAGTATTTACTTCTTTTTTTTTCTTTTAATAGAATTTAAATTCTTTTCCCTTCAGGATGGTAGGTTCTGATGTAAACAAACTTGATTTCCTTAAAATACCTTAGCGTAAAAGTTTTCGTATTATTTTAGATATTTGTTATATAATCAGAATTTAGATAATAAATAGATAAGTTACATATTTTGATTGAAATTATATGTGTAGTCAAGTATGTCCGTTTTTCGACAGTGATGCTTATAAATTTATTCAAGGTAAATGGTAAATCTAGTGACGAGTGCACTGTTTAGTTTGTTTACTTACAATTGACTTCTTAAAATATTTCTTCAGGAATTCCGTTTTATTTCTATCGTTTTCTAATTATTTTAGAAATTTTAAATTACACAAATTACACAATTTTTTTGAATGTTTTTACTAAAAGTTCACATAATAAACGGCCAAGTGCCAGTTAATATAGACGCTTATTGAATGCTGTTTGCGTTATGAAAGTAAGAGTAGGAATTAGGAAGTTAAGATTATGATGGCATAGTGGATGAATAATGATTGCTTCTAGATTTGAAGAAATTATAGATTTATTGTTTGGTGAGCTACCACACAGGTCTCTGGTACAGGTTCTGTGTCAGAAGCTTTCTAAACGGAACACACTTGGCAAATGAATATGTACGAAATGAAGGTGATTCAACTCTGTAAACGTAGCAACGCCTGTCATGGCTGCAAAGTTCTAAGATGGCGGAATTCTGGAATGAATCTCTTCTGTATATATGCCATGTGTTGTATCATTAAAGAGATTACAGACAAAGATGGTACTCGAATGAAGGAACAGCTACACGCGCGTAGATGAAAGAAAGAGAGGTTTATTGTAAAAGAGAATGCACGACAGGGTAGCAGGCTAGTAATTTCGGAAGCAAGCTCCCAGTTATAGATATTTAATTGTACACTGTACAGTATATGGTACAAAGACAAAAAAAAGGTGATTGGGAAAAAGGACGGTCTTTATTTGTCTTAAATTCTAAACTTAGCTAGACATAAACTTTAAACCAAATATACAAACAATAGTTCTAACACAAAAACAACACATTCTCACCTACCTTTCTTACAACATCCACCATAATACCTCAGTGTCTCAATGAAAACCTAGCTAGTTCCCATATGTACATTTCTTTGACTGTGAGTGGGGGGAATAAAACAATAATTGAAAAAAACAATGAGTATTTACAATATAAATATAATAATGACAACACAATATAACAATAATAAATATAATAAATTCTATTTACATGAAAGCAATGCAAAATAATGATAATAATAAAACCCCCGACAATCCTTAAATGTGGAAGAAACAACGTAAGAAAATGCGGGATTATACTAGTATAAAAAAAAAACAAAAAAAAAACAAACTTTCATTCATCCCAAGTATTCGCATAGATACGCACTCATTCAGACAAAACAACAAATACGAAAACACACACAAGAATCGAACGACACCCCAATCTCCCAGAGAACTGACAGCAGTGCCCACCTAACGAGGGAGGGGATGAAGAATTAAACTAAAGAAAAATAGGGACAGAAATAAAAGGGGAAAATGAGCATACATACCCTAGCTAAGTGAACTGGAAAAAAAGGAAAACTGAAGACTGAAACCAAACCTAAACTAGCATAATATCGGGATAGGTTGCCTCTGTTCAATACAGGAAGAACAACATCCTGAAGCCTAACCAGCATCCACTCCAGACCAGCCCCTTTAACTCTACACAATCGCGCAAGATTCACCCACCTTTTGCCGAATTCTGATGAAGAGACCAGCTGCCTTTCCGTCCTAATCTTGAATTTAAGCTGATGATTAAAGTACAAGACGAAGTGAACTTCTCATCCCCATAGAAACCTTTCTGACGTGTCGACGAAATCACGACTCTCATGACACCTAGCAAGCAAAAGAAATCATATTGTTCAGCCTTCGTCAACGGCAGTGCCACATTGGTACCAACACAAGAGGCCTCAAAGACAAAGAACTTTCCCTGCAGCATATACGAACCATGAGGCGTTCAACAAACTTACACAACGGTGCTACCAGCCTGCAATGAAAGAAAGCGTGACCCAGGGCTTCGACCTCCCCATCAAAGCTGAGCAAAGTCTTTTGGCGACCCAGAGGGCCCCACACATCACCAGCCATGTGAAGGATACCTCATCGTTATTGCAACATTTCAACCCGGGTGTCCATGGCCATATTGAGCTAAAGCTCCCAGGTATGTCTTGTGCTCACTATATATAGCTAATTTTATAGTCAGCCCACATAGGTGATAGGGAGTGTGGAACATTTCATTACAACACTATGGAAATAACCATCAGCTTGCGATGTGGTGTTTGTAGGAAAGGGTCTGTCGAGTTGAAAATCAGTTATTCGCACAAGGCCACGCGATTCGGGGTACTTCTACAGACATCCGTTTTCAAATAAGATTTTCTTCCTCTTGGAATATGTATTTGAAAAAAAAAAGTCTTCTTCTACGTAACGGACGATCATGTCTTTCCAGTACAGTGTAGCCTTTAACAATATTTATCATTTTGTTTAAAAACAGACAACCCACCATCGTTCTATCATGTATTTATAAAAACTCAACATTTAGGTGGTCCGCTGTCTTCCGCTGACATTTTAAATTCGATATGCCCTGTAAGTGTCAAATTCGCCAAGCCCTCCTTTGTTAAAGGTTCAAGAAACTTCAGCTAACTTTTCCATATTCTAAGTATCCTTTTTGTTACCATTTGTAGTTTACGCACAATGTTCATGAAAGTTTCAGAATCTTTCTTTACAACAAGATTCATATTGCATCCAGCTTCCAAATTATCTCTGAAGGGATTGTTCAGGGATTGAAATTATATAACAGCACACTTCAGCACACTTTCTCCAGCTTCTTAGTACGGCGTTTAGCTTTTCGAATGAATCATACGCTAATCCAGCGCGTGTTCGAATTCGTTGCCGCATTTTCTATAAATAAACCATTTTCCCCTGTATGGTTGGCTCGTCGGAGAGATAAATTCTGTCGCATGTTTCACCTGTCTGGTATCCTCTATTATACTATGTTGTAACGCCGATAATGTCCGCGAATTTAAGCCAGAGAAAAATAGCTACGAAACTTCAAAACTCAAGGAGTTTCTCAAGTTTTATCGAAGTTTCGAGAGACTGGAGATGTAAGGGATCGATCATGATCTGGCTGGATCTTCAAAGATACGACAAAGATCTGGTGAGAAGATAAAAATTCATCTTATAAATTACTGCATGATAACTGATGGATTTGGTTTCAGTAAATGCAGTTCAACGTATTATTCGACGAAATACATTGCTTGGAGTGAATAGATGCTAAAATACAGCGTTGACACAATGGGTTGGTTGGTTGGTTGGTTGGTTTTGCTTAGCGGTATATCAGTACCTCTATGCGTTATCTAATGCCTGAATCTAAATATTTTATACATAATTTTAAGGCTTCAACTAACTATATTTTGAACGCAATTGTATGTCTTCAGCTACATATTCTGTACCTAATTTTATACTTCAAGAGTAAACGTGTTTTATAGATACATACATTGTAGATAAGCTATTGTAAGTGTTACACGTTTTGGTATAAAACTATTTATTTAAGGTAGGACGTTATAATATAAGTATGAAGAATGTTGAACTTTTATTTGCGATAACGTTGCATATAGTATTTAAATGAAATACTGTTTTTTTTATAGGTAAGTAAATAGATAACAATAACGATAGTTCAGGAAAAGTAAGCAGGCACGGAAGTTTAAATATCTGTAAAGGTACGTGCGACACTGAGATCCGTAGACGCTTTGAGATGGCTAAGGACACATTCCAAAAGCTTGGCAGAATATTGCGAGGATATCTTTGGTAACAAACAAAAGAATACTCAACTACTACGTGACATCTGTTCTTATGTACGACAGCGAATGTTGGACGATTTCCTCAAAGATGATTGGTTTAGTTTGGTTTGTTTTACGACATATTAACCTCAATGGGTCATTTAATGCCGACAAGTTTTTTTCTGGTAATATTTTTGTTTTGTCTTAATCTATTTCTGTTAAAAAATGTAGCTGTTAATATTATTTTTCTAAAAACGTATGGCTGATAAATATTATTTTTTCAAACATGTATTACTGGTAATGTTTCTTTTTTCTTCAAAAATTTCTTTTCTGGTAATAATTTTTTAGTATTTCTAGTATTAAAACCTATTTTTACACTTTTATAATGCGATTAAAATTCCGAGCCATTATCAATTACACCACACACATCCAAACTTACAGGACTAAGTATTTCCAAATGGTCACCTATCTCGGTAGTGAACAAGCTTGATGTTTGCTTAACTTCTGAGATCGTACGAGAACCGGTTTTTGAAGGTGATGTGACCGTAAGACATGGCACAGAGGGGACACAGTTATTGGTGTTAAGACCTATTAACTGATGAAACTAAAATTGAGTTGCATACTTATAAGAGAATTTGCAGGAAAGCAGCGTGAAAAAGAAATTAACCTTGCTATACTATAAAAAAATCCCAAACTTACAGGAGTAAATTTTGTAGCCCAGTGTATTTTCATATAGTATTTTAAATCTCTCTCTCTCTCTCTCTCTCTTGCATATATATATATATATATATATATATATATATATATATATATATATATATATATATATATATATATATATATATATATATATATATATATATATATATATATATATATATATAAAGAATAAAAACAATCATAGAATTAATCAGAAGTATCAATGCGATTATTGACGACATCCATCGTTAGAAAACATAATATACGCATTAAAATCCTGTTCATCCATAGTGCGAGTTTTGGTCCTTGAAGAAAAACTTGTCTGTAGTTTTTCAGTTTATTTGATGTTAAAATGCTAGTACTTACGGACAGTCTTCCATCCATCATCAGGCATGTGTTTTTTCCCTATAAAATCAAAAACTTGAGACTGATTAATTTTATGTGATTATTCTTTGTATGTAAATCATATGCTGCCTAATGTTTTATGTTTATATATATATATATATATATATATATATATATATATATATATATATATATATATATATATATATCGGAAAAATCATGATTGTAGAAAGTTGATAAAAGTGAACGGGAAACTTAAAAATAGTTTCAAATATAGTGAAGTTCTGAAGGAACACTTGATTTCTGATTCGAATGGCGACGAAATATTTCTGCATGACGGAGCTCTATGCCATAAATGACGTGCAACTCGACAATATCTGGCTGACGAAAAAGGAAGCGTATTAATAGATTGGCTAGCAAAAAGGTTGGATATAAATATTAGCGAGCCATTGTGGACAGTAGTAAAAGAGAAAAGTTCGTACAAAACTTCCATGTATAGGTTGAAGTGTCAAGGGAGGTCAGTCAAGTAGAATGGACAACTATAACCATAGAATTAATAAAGGAATTGAACACAACACTTCCACGGCAGATTAAAGTCATTATTGAAGTTAACAATCTGATATATTCTGTCTCTGGAATAAAAAATAAAAGAACAAAGTTTTCAATTATCATTTTAAATATTCTACTTGTAGAAAGTGGTCTATGAATTATACACGGCCATTTTTTTTTGTGGATTGACGAATATTTTGCCCACATCTCTTAAAACCCTTCAAGGAATTAGGATGTTTAGCAAGGATCAATGCTTCTCAGCCATTTTTTTCTCTGGGCCGCATTTTCGGAATGAAAATTTGCTTGCACCTTACCAAATGTTACGTGATAAAAAGTACACTTAAAAAAAGAGAAAACAAAATCCGAGAGGTTTAAAGGGAGATAACTGAGGATTCGAAATCAGAACACTTTCTTTGATAACTCTCTCCGCCAATTTGAGGACCCTATTTACTATGTTCTTAATACTTGATATATAATGATAAAATCGGTCAATAATTATTTATAAAAACAGTCAATAATTAATTATAATTATAACACTGGGAAGCATACATGGAAATACAAGTAATCCATAATATTATTTTAAATTTTAAAATGCAATTTATTTTTTGCATATGAATTTGTTTGAAGCTGTAAATCTTTGATCGACATTCCATTCAGTCATTATGACTCACCTGCTATCCTCTTCTATCACACCTATGAGGCGCCGCACCGTCATATATATATATATATATATATATATATATATATATATATATATATATATATATATGTGTGTGTGTGTGTGTGTGTGTGTGTGTGTGTGTGCTCCTGAAAAAATAATTTCCGTTTAGCTCTATGGAGAGGAAGTGTGGATTTGTAAACAGTGACTATTACGGCTCTAATAATGCACGGCTCCACGGTAAATCGAATCGAGTTTTCTCAGTTACTGTGTATTTATCTTAAATTCACCTTCATCACTGCCGTTCGGTAACGGCTTAGTGGTAGAATCCTCGCTTGATGCCAATTCAGTCGGGTTTCGTTCCTTGTTAAAGGAACCGGACGTCTAGCCACACGGATGAGCTGCGATACAGCGAAACAGTCTGTCTGTGGATGACTATATATATATATATATATATATATCAAGAATAATATTGGGAGAAACATGTATGACCAAATGGAAAAGTTTTCCTGTTTATATTTATGTTGTTGAGACTACACAGGCGAACGAACGAGAATCGTTTGGAATTTTTTTTAGGGGAGTTCATCCCAAGCAAGGCAGTAAAGCCACTGAGACGCAAGCAGTTACTGGGTGTGGAAGAGTTAGGAATGGGTACATTCGTAGGGAGCGAAAACAGAGTAAGTGTAATCAGTAGGACAGCATATATCGATTGACATTGCATTTAAAATTTTGCGGATTAAAGTTGGCTGGAAAGTCAGTTCCACCAGCGATAAACCGTTAGCATAGAATTTCGTGAGACATCGTCGACAGTCTAGTACTTTGTTTAAATTCTAAAAAGTCTAAGCACCATAGCGAAGAGCGATATTTAATCCACTTATATACAGAAATATTTATGTACAGAAATGTGGCAAAAGACCAAAATGGGAAATGGGAAAAAGGACGCTTTTCTCCTGTCTTAACATTAAACTTAGCTAGCCACAAACACTGACCTAAACATACCATAATATTAATTACACTAAAACGATGCATTCTTACTTAACATTCTTTCTTCATCCACCATAATACCTCAGAATCTACATGACGTCCTATCTAGTCCACATATGTACAATTCATGATCTGTGGGTTGGCGGGGGAGGGGAATAAAATAACAATATTTAAATATCTAAACCACAATGGATATTTACAAATGTGAAACAAAACTATATACAAGAAACCAAACAAAATAATATGAGTAATAAACCTCCTCCCCAACAATCCTTAAATGTGGCAGAAACATCAGTTAACTTGACGGAATCAATGCGGTACCCTAATAATAAAAAAAATATTCATTCATTCTAAGCAGTCACTCAAACACACACTCATTCAAACAGAACAAATACGAAAATCACAAAGGCGAAAGGCGCTCCGCATCCACCCGAGAACTGACATCTTTGCTCACCTAAACAAAGGAGCGAAAGGGAACTAAACTAAAGAAAATAGGGGCGGAATTAAAAGGGGCCAATGAGAAGACATCCCCAAGATAATTTGAAAGAAGAACTGACGTCTCTGCTCACCTAAACAATGGAAGGAAAGGGAACTAAATTAAAGAAAATAGGGACAGAATTAAAATGGGGCCAATGAGAATACATCCCCAAGATAATTTGAAAGAAGAAAGTAAGGACAAAACGGAGCCCTATACTAGCGTAAATCTGGGCGGGGTTAGCTAATGTTCACAGCAGAGAGAACAATATCCTGATGCCTAAGTCAGCCCCCTTTATTCGACACAAACGCGCAAGACTCACTCACCTTTTCCAAATTCTGATGGATGGAACCGCTGCTTCCTGTCCTAATCTTGTTTTTAAGCTGATGCTTCAAATACAAGATCAGTTGGGAAGAAGTGAACTTCTCGACCCCATAGAATCCGTTCTGACGTGTCAACAAAATCACGACTCTCATAACCCTTAGTAGGCAAAATATCACATAGTTTTCAACCTTCGTCAACAGCGGCACCACATTGCTACATCAAAACTTGCCTCGAGGACGAAGAACTTTCCACGCAGCATGCAAACAAAGATGCAATGAAAGAAAGCGTGACCCAGGGTTACGACCTCCCTATCACATCACAGCGAACGTAATTTGGAGATTTCTCCAAGCCCGCTGATCAAAGACTTTTGGCGACCCAGATGGCTCTACGAATCACCAGTGATGCCTCATCGTTATAGATGGTATTTCAACCCAGCTGCCCAAGGCCATATTGAGCGAGCCTCCTGCTTCCCTAGCTAACACCTGGATAATGTCTTTCAAGACAACACCTGAACACTGGAGAGACAATCCGACGCCCGTAAGATGTATTTCAGACCAGTACGACATTCTCGATAGAAGGAGCACTCGACTCGGGGTAAATGTGGGGGTCTACTCCGCGCACGAATGCACATGTCTCAGATATGGGAAGTTCTTATGGGCGTTTCCCTTATTTGTAATAAGATCCTCTCGTAATTATGGACAAGTTTCTTAGTATCCTTATAAAAGGAAGAAAGAAAATTACCATGTTAATTCATATTCAGCCGTTATAATTTTTTGCTGATAGGGTTTTATTGATGATTCAGTATAAAAGAAGATGGCGATTCGCGGTGCATTTGAATTTTCTATCATTTAATCCAAGAAAGACAATACTTCAACAAGGACGTACGTGGGAGTTACTGAGAATGAAAGAGAATATGAATACTTCAGTAAGGGGAAGTGAGGAAAAGACAATAAAAGAACAAGATTCAAGAAGAAAGAAGATGGCCATTCGTGTTTCATTCAAATTTTTTAAATTTTTTGTTTAGGAAATGCTTATTGGAACGATCACTAAAAAATGCTACCTTTTTTTGTTAACGATCATTCTTATCCCAACTATAAATACCTATCACATAAACACAGTTCCCTTAATCATCAGCATCCTGGCTTTGGGAAGGAAAATAAGAACAGTAAAACCGATATTTTTGTTATTGACTGTCGCTGGGATATTATAAACTAGTTTATCGACTTCGGAAAAGTATTCCTTTTATATATGAGTTCATGAATTCAGCCAGAAACGTTAGCCTTTTACTTGAACACCCTCGTATAAGTTTATTGACTATTTTCTGTCTGTAGGTATTCTCTGAGGATGACAGTGGTTGCTGCTTCTGGCCAGCTCTATTCTAGCACCTTGGATCAGTATAGAAAAAGGGTTCAATAATCAACTTTCCATAAAAAAAAAAAAAAACAATCTCACAGATTAGCCTCATCTATCGACTCTATAACCATCCAAGACCAAACATCTTCGACACCCACTTCCCACATATTATGAATCTTAAATTCCCTTTCTTTCATTGGTTACTCTAAGCGTCTTTCGCGGTTTCAAATTTGTCCATTCGGTCTTTTCTGTTCTTTAGACTTTTTCTGTGTTTGCTCAACTTCGATGTTTCTCATCATCCTTCTTCTTCTTCTTTCTTGACATAGTTATGCATTTGTTTGTTGTTTTTTTTTTTCATATTTCTTTCTACGTCATTTTCTTTTTTTTTCCTTTACATAATCTATCTGCTTTGCCTCGCTTATTTAACACCGTTGATTTTTTTCTCTTATATTACATAATCATTTTTTTTTCATTCTCATATTGCAGCTGTAGATTCTCTATTTTTTTTTATAATATTAACTAATTCTATCTTTTACTCTATTTACTTCGTTTTTATTTTCTCAGCAGAGACGTAGTCACATTTTCGGGTTGAAATTTCAACTTCTTATTCTTCGTTTTCGTTCAGATATATAATTCTGTTTTGTTTTTTCCTTCCTTTTTCATTCGTTGTTCGTCATTTCTTTCCATCTTCTTTAAATTCATATTTCTTTGGTTCTTATTCTAATTCCTAGCTTCTTTTTTTTTATCTGTGTCGACCATTTTCTTCATATTCAACCTTTCCTTCATATTTTCTTCTTCGCAGTTATTGTCTTAAATTTCTTTTTACATTATTTTTTTCTTTCTTTCATTCTATTTTTTTTTAGTTTCTATTTTCTTTCTGTTTTTTCTTTGCCATTTTGTCCTCTGTATTTCTTACTCAAATTAATTTAAACATTTATTTTCTTTCTTTTTCTCGCAAACTCTTTCTTTTTGTCTTTTTCCTTTTTTTCTGTTATATGTTATTTTCGTTTATATTCTTTCTTTCTATGAAACTTACTTTTAACTCTGTCTCTTTTTTCTTTTTTTTGTATCATGTATTTAACTCTTTCTTTCGATCTTCCTTTCTAGTTTTTTTCTTTTTCTTCGTTTTTCTTTGTTTTCATTTTTCTTATTTTCTTCTTTCTTTCATTTTTCTGTTTTATTTTCTCTTCTGTATTTAATTTGTTCTTTTGATCATTCTTTCTACTTTTTTCTTTCTTTCAGTTTTTATTTAATTTTGCCTATTCTCTTTTATTCGTTCTTTCAGTCGTTCATTCTTTTCTCTACTTCCAATTTCTATTTTCTTTTCTTCCTGTAACCCTTACTTCTTTTTGTCCTTTCTTTTCTCTATTGCCTTTCTTTTACTGTCCATATTCTTACAGTCGATAAAGATGTATTGATTCTTACTTAATACTTTATATTATTCGATCTTTTACTTTCCTTCATCTTCTTTAATTCCCAACAGCACAATGATACTTAAATCTATGTTAAAACTTTTTCCTTTTTTGAAGGTTTCTCTTATCTTCTTTACTTGTAGACAGTCTCTCTTTTTTCGATTCATTATCTATTTTCTTTCTTTATCTCCATTTCATTTCTCTTATCGCTTACTTGATACAGTTTTTGCTTAATCTCTCTCTCTCTCTCTCTCTCTCTCTCTCTCAAGTACTATCAAATGTTCCCTTCAAACTCTTGATCGAATTAGTTTCCTTCAATTTCTTATTTATTCATTCATCATGTCTTGCTGTTTTCTGCAACAATTTTTTTGCGCTCAAGTTTTTTTTTTGTCTATTTTTAATCTATTTTATAGCTCCGTCATTATATTTTCCATTTTCATTTATGTAACATTTTCTTTCTTTACTTTTTTCTTTCTCGTTTTCTTTCTTTTCTTTTTTCTTTCTCGTTTTCTTTCTTTTCTTTTCTTTCTTTCTTTCTCGTTTTCTTTTTTTTTCTTTTCTTTCTTTCTTTCTCGTTTTCTTTCTTTTCTTTTTTTCTTTCTCGTTTTCTTTCTTTTCTTTCTTTCTTTCTTTCTCGTTTTTTTTCTATTCTTTCTTTCTTTCTTTTTTTATCGTTTTCTTTCTTTTCTTTTCTTTCTTTCTTTCTCGTTTTCTTTCTTTTCTTTTTTTCTTTCTCGTTTTCTTTCTTTTCTTTCTTTCTCGTTTATTTGGTTTCTTTTTATGATTTTCTTTGTAATATACATTTTCTTTTTTCTTTATTTCTTCTATTGGTTTTGGTTTTCTTTCTTTCTTTCTTTCTTTCTTTCTTTGTCTTATGGTTGATATTTTTCTTATTATAA